TGTTGGACTCTGTCTTGACCATGATTTTACAACATAAACATTTCAAATTTAGTCATAGCATATAAGAGTTGGAAGGTATCTCAGAGATCTAAACCAGTTCCTCATCTCCACCCCCAATTTTACATATAAAGAAACTGAGTCAAAGAAAGCTGAAGTATGTGGCAGAGCCAGGATGGTAACAGAACTGCAGGCAATCACATACTAGGACCAGCTGAGATACTCGGGGAGGTTTCTTCTAGAAATGTTTAGTCTTAGGGGTACATGAAGTTTATCTTATAGATAAAGCCTTGAAAGGCTGTCATATAGAAGATAAATTAGACCCCAGAGTGTGAACTAGGTGCAGTAGGTGGAAGTTAGCAGCCATGGAGGAGGGAAGAAAGTGCTATCTTAATGTAAGAGGGAAAACTTTCCAACAACTAGAACTATCCTGCAGTGGAATGGGTTGCTTTGGGAGCTGGTAGACTCTCTATCATGGAGGTCTTCAGATGGAGACTGGATGGCCACTTGTGGAACATACTGTGGAGGGAATTCTTGCTCAAGTAAGAGCTAGATTCAGAGATACCTCTCAATTTTGAGATTCTATGACTAGAACCCAGGACTCCTGATTCCATGCCAGTGTATTTTCCATAATACTCTATTTTCTTCTTCAAGTGTGCATTCCTGAAAGATGGCAGCACTCAAATTGTTATGTCATTAAGGAGGATATCCACAACATAGCCTTTCAAACCTAAAGCACAACTAAGAAGTAATACAACTGGGGTAGCAGTGACATCTGTTCCACAGAGGCTAAGAAAAAGGTCTTTTCTTTAAAAAGACAACGAAGAAACCATTCTTGAGTTAATTGGTCCAGAGGACTAAGGCTACTGATGTGGCTTCCTGGTTGCCAAAGGCATAAAGGCTCTATTGCATGGGTAGTCAGTGTCCCACAGGCTTGATGACTGTCCCGCTGTTGTGTGCATCCACACGCTCTTCTGACTGGGCACAACAAATGAAGAGATGTGCGGGGCTATGTTCAGCTGAATCAATGCTACATCTTTGCTGGATATTCTTCGCAGGCAATTGATAGGTGAACTTTTTTTGTTAAGTGGTCTATGATTGACAAGTGTTGAACCACAGGATTTGGCTGATTTGGGTCTGGACCAGAAGAACAATAATACTTCCATTTAAAGGAAACTTTAAGGTTCTAATGGTTTTCATCATTGTTAGAAACTTCATTGCCACAGGTAGAAAGAATTTAAGATGCAAAGGGATAGATTCCAAGATATACATTTCATTCTGTCTCTTGTACTAAGAGAATCTTCCCTATCTCCCCTCCAGAGAAGGACCAAAATACTCTGAGTCTCAGGGGTCCTTAAAAGTCAGTGACACAGTTTGTGAGATTCTTTGAAATGTTCTTTCTAAATGCCTAGGGAATTCTTTTAGCATCAGGATCAGGTCTACCAAGCCCTATTTTGGGGATTTCTTTTCCCTCTGGATTTCCTCAAGCCTTTGTAGTCAGGGATGCTTTAAAGCTGAGAGAAGGTACTCATTCCTGCACCCGTACTGACAGTGGTCTTTGGACCCCAACAAAGTCTCATGTTCCCATTAATCTTTTAGGAGCTGTGTGCCATATGCCCAGCAGATCATTGTTTCCTTCATATTCTGAAAGAAGAATTGTTTCAGATTCTCTCAGACAACCCTTCTGTGATACACGAGGGCATATAAATCACTGGAGAGAGAAGGGAGCTGCTCCTCTGATGAAAGGGAGCAGCCCTTGTGGAGAAGGGAGTCTGTCTTCGAGGGGCTTTCCCTTGGCCCTTGATCTAGGGAGACGTGTGAAATCCGAAGCCAGCCTAGACAAAGCAGAATCAAAATGCCATAAAATCTCAGGCTGTACAAGGATAGAGACCATCTCTTCCACTTTTGTCCCTCAAAGCAATGGTCTTTAGTTCTCAAGACAGAAAGGGGGAATATCACCTTCATTGAATTTAGATATGAGAAGTAGAAATTGGAGCATATGCCACTCCAACAATCACACCAAATTTTCCATTGAATTTAATTAAATAAGATTCAGAAGGAATATAAAGTCTTATACTTGGGTTCAAAAAAATCAACTTCACAAAATGGCTATGTCTAGACAGCAGTTTTCCTGAAAAAGTTATAGGTATTCTCACATGAAAATTCACATGAGTCCATAGTGTGATATGACAGTCAGAAAAGCAAATGCAATCTTAGTTGTCTTAACAGAAGTGCAGTGCCCAGGCTGTACTCTATCCTGGCCTGGCCACACTAGGAATGCTGGGTTTGGTTCTGGCGGCCACATTTTAGGAAGGGCTCTAGAACAAAAGACTTTCAGGGCGATATGATGGCTCTCTTTAAGTATCTGAAGGGCTCTCATGTGGAAGAAGGCTCAGGATGGCTCTTTTTGGAGAAGCATAAAATAATGGCATGAAAGCTGGAGATGGAGCCAGAACACTTCGGTTTGAACCATGCCTCTGATGCCTGTTACCTGTGTGACTGTGGGCAAGTCATTTATCTTCTTGGTTCCTCCTCTATATAATGAGGTACTTGGACTAGATGCTCTGATTCCACAGGACCCTTCTAGCTCTAACCCCAGGATTCTATTTACTGGGAGCAATAGGTAAAAACAGCAGAGAGGCCAGTTTGAGTCTGATGTCAGGAAAAGCTTCCTAATGATGTTGGTGGAAAGGGCGGCCCTGAGAACCCCTAACCAGGGGTTCTCCTTTACTAGAAATCTTTGAGGGGCAGCTAGGCGGCGCTGAAGTCAGAAGGACTTGAGTTCAAATCCTGCCTCAGACCAAACGCTTGACACTTACCAACAATGTGACCCTGGGCAAGTCACTTAACCCCAATTGCCTTAAAAATAAAAAAAAAAATAATAGAAATCTTCAAGGGATGACTGGAGGCACTCTTGCTAGGGATGATGTAGATAGGATTCCTCTAAGTATGGGCTGGATAAGCTCAGTGGTAGTTAATGTGGGGCATGGGAAGAAAATACTGGGACTTCTACTTCTATTTATTTTTATCTAAAGAAAGAAAGAGGGGGCAGCTAGGTGGTGCAGTGGATAGAGCACCGGCCCTGAAGTCAGGAGGACCTGAGTTCAAATATGGCCTCAGACCAAACACTTGCCACTTTCTAGCTGTGTAACCCTGGGCAAATCACTTAACCCCAATTGCCTAAAATAAAAAAAAAGAATGAAAGAAATGAGTTTTATTAATATTTAACATATGGGTTACGTATTAATACATGCCATCATTCGGCCTTCACTCAGTCCACATACCATCACGTGTCATGTGCTATCTAGGAGATTATCCTAAGGGAGAAGCAGGAATCATGACGGGGCTGACAGCACTGTTTGTACTCATTTGTTCATATCGAGCATCACGTGATCTAGTTTATGTATGCCCAGGTTAGGAGATGCATGGAATGTATAATCTAGTTTTGACTAAAATTACCCTCAAAAAAATGGATAAGTGGCTCAAAAGGATTCCTGCAGAGAAACCGTGGGTTGAATATTGGTAACATGAGCACAGACAAGAAAATGGCAGAGCTTATGTTGCTCTTAACCCTAATTCTGGTTCTCCATCTGCCACATTAGGAGGTAACAACAATGATGATCTAATTGGATCTAACTAGAACTCAGCCAAAAGAAATGATCAAGAAGACCATCTGAAATACGGATTTACATCTACTATCATTAACAATGAATCTCAGCCTAAGTGTATTTTGTACCTTGAAATATTGGCTAAAGAATGATGCTATCATAATTAGCAAGACATTTAAAAACTAGACTTTTGTGGCTTAAAGTGATGTAAGCCAACTACAAAAATTCTCATATCCATATATTTTAAAAGTTGGAAACAATTTCCAAAACTACTAAGAATCTTCTAAGAGTTTCAGTGAGTTTTAGACTCATTTATTAAAAAAAAAAAGTCAGTGAAATAGTTTGTAACTGGTTTACCTCAAGAAAGTTGGAAATTTGCTAGCTGAATTTCAATCAAAGCCTCTGCAAAACTAGTAGCTAATATTTTAAAATGAATAATGTGATGTAGGAAGTGCAGCCAAAGATACATTTTTTCCATTTGGACCTAGTTATCCTTGTGAAGTATCTTTTTTAGCTATGACAGTCATGAAAACCAAGTACTGAAATAAATTAAAGTTAAAACTAGACCTTTCAATTGTTCTACTGCAAAGTGTTAAAGGTTTAAAAAATAATAAAATATATTCAATCATATTACTTCTCACTGAAAATATTACTATTAATAATTTAGTGAGAACAAAAATATTTCATACTATTAATAAATAAAATGAAAATTATTTAAAAGCATTATTTTATTTCATCTTTATCTTATCCTTTTAAATTTATTTTTGTGCATTTTATAGTGTATAGAATATTTTAATATAGTGATACACATATGTAATTTATAAGTGAATAAATAACTTTTGGGGGTGGGTACAGTGGTACACATATATAATTGAGAAGTGAATGAATATAACTATTTTTAACTAACAGGTACGTGATCAAAAAAATTTGTAGACTCTTGCATGAAACAGTCTGTCTCTAATGGATATATCTTCCAATGGAAATTTTGGGACTCTGGTTCTAGCCGTAATATTGTATGACTCTAGAACAAACAGGCATCTCCACATAACTTTTATCTCTGAGGCCCCTGACATTAAGGTACCTTCTATGTGCAAGTACTTTGTAATGTGATCCCTTCAGTATGTCTTGCAATGAACTTCCATAGATGGGGCCCACAAAGGACTTGCCTTTACCAAATTCCTATCTCTAGGCAATAGTACAGCAAAGTTTAAAAGCACATTTTTTTTTTTTTTTTTGATATGGGAATTATAGTCTCATGAATTACAGACAGACACACATGTACAATTCTCATATAAGGAAGAGGAGATTCCTGTCACACAAACATTGAAAAACATAAAAATGAAGACAATTACAGGCAATCCTTTGGCACAGCAGTATTAGCTTTGATGCACTAACCTGTGTTCCCTGGTTGTTAATGTCAATGAAATCACTCCATTCAGTTGTTATGTCATCCAATGGCACAACTTTCAGCAGAAGGCTAGGAAGTAACTCTTTGGTCCTACAGTCAGGGTAGCTAAAGATTTGATGATACAGCTCATGATGAATTGAACATTCAGCTGGAATTTTTCTACAATAGACTTGAAACTTGGGAGTATCTGAAATGTTAAAAACCATTTCCATCATATTTTTTAAACTGATTGCCTGAGTAGCCCACATTAGACTTCAAGTGTCATGTAGCCTGGGACCCTTCTGATAACCCTTCACAGAACCCCCTGATAAACCAATTATCGACTGGGTCAAAAGATACAGTTACCATGTAACTTAATGTCTATAGGAACTATAAAGAAATACCTTTCATATTTTCCCTCATAAGCATTGTGACTGGACATTGGTTATGGAGAATGATTCGAGGACTAGGATCTTCTGTGAGGGTTAAGTAAGTGACTCCAAGATACTGCTGATGGGTCAATGCTATAGCCCTGAAAGAAAAAAAGAATAGCTCATTTTGAATATCTGGGGTTTTTGGTATTATGCCAAGGTACGGTATAACAAGGAGTAAACAAGAGTCAGGTATACTTGGATGCAAGCTCAGCCTCAGACACGTGCTGGCTTGTGGGCAAATCATTTAAGCTCTCAGCAGCCCAGACATCTCTCTAAAAGACTGTTAAGCAGAAGGACAAAGTTTGATTCCGCATATGTGGGGGGAGTTTTTTCCAGGACTGTTCCCTACCTTAGAGATACTGATACCCCATCCTACCATACACCCCACCACCACCGCCAAAAGAAAAAAAAAGGTGCATCTACAGATTCATTTATTTATTTGACAGTCATTTTTCTAGAAAGTAAGAGTAATAGTATTGAGAGATGATTTTTTTAATCCCAGAAAAGGGAGAAGCGCTATATTTTTTTCTCATATCTTCTTTACCCCTCCCCATTGGTTGTGACCAGACACCACATAGCACTACATTTTGTGACCCGAATGCATTTGTAATGAAACATTGTATATTAAAGCTGTTGGTATCTTATTTCCCCAGCAGTCCGTGGTTTCTATGAAGGCAGAAACTATATCTTATCTAAACCTGCACAGTATAGGTGCAGAATGAATATCTGTCATTGTTGTGGTAGAGTAATAATGGGATTTTAGGGTCAAGACTTTTCTTCAGAGAACAACACACTGGCTACGACAATAATAACAATGACAAGGATGACAAAAGATGCCTTGTATTTAATTTAACTTCAATAAACTTTCATCAGTTTCCACTACGTGCCATTAAGTGTTGAGGCTATGAAGACAAAAATGAGGCAGATTCAGCACTCTAGAAACTCCCAGTGGTGGGGAGCAACATGAATGCAGATACAAATAATGCAGGTTGGGAGCCAAGGAAAAATCAGAAGGCACTTGAGGAGTGAAATGAGGAGGGACCAGGGAACCAGGAACCCTTAGCTGGGCCTGGAAGGAAAAGAAAGATCCAGGAACAGACAGTATGGAGAAAGTACTCTGGAGGCATGATGGAAGCTCATGCATATTCGTACAATCAGGCATGGTCTGTTAAGGTCTGGGCTTGAGAAAGCAAGTAGTTGATTCTGGCTGTAAAATCCTACCTTCTGCAAGAGGCTTTTCCAGGTTCCTCCTGGGGCTAGTGTCTTCTCTCTGAGACTACCTTCCATTTACAATGTATATATGTTATATGTACATGGGTTTGCACATTAATCTCTCCCATTAGAATGGGAGCTCCCAGAGGGCAGGGTCTGTTTTTACTTTTCTTTGCACAGTACCTGGCACAGAGCAAGAGCTTGGGAATGAAGAGGGCTTGCATCAGGCACATTTGTAGAGTGCTTTACAATTTACAAAGTACTTATCACCTCTCAGTCATGTTTGTAGTTTGGGGAAAGAATCCTGAATTTGAAGTCAGAAAATCTAGGTTCAAATTCTGGCTCTATTACTTATATGACCTGTGGATTGGGCAAATTATCTCACCTCTGTAGGTCTCAGTTTCCTCATCGATAAAATGAGGGGTTTGTACTTGCTGATTTGAAAGATTTCTTCTTTTTCTAAATCTTAAGATCGCCATATATGATTTTATGATTTCCACATTAATCCTTTTGACAACCCTGCTAAGTAGGCAAGGCAAGTATTATTATGCCCTCTTACATGTAAAGAAACAAGCTCACAGATGTAAAGAGATTTGCCTAAAATTACAGTTAGTTAATGGCAGATCTGATACTAATATCTAGGGCTTCCTACTCCAGTATTTTTTCCATTACTGCAAGTTGCCTTTCTGAGAGCTTATTTACATCTTTTTTGGACTGGCAACCCTTCCAACCCAACTGGGAGAAAGTCTGGATGCTTTCTCCCAGCCTTATTCTCAAACACTCTAATTGGTCATTTCCTCTTAGCACTTCCATTTTAAGGAATGGCCTCAGGGCCAGCCATTCTTCCGCTTTAATTCCTTTTCAACTCCCTTCTAATTCTCCAGATTGCTTTCTCCACTATCTTCCTTTTGTTTTTCCCCATTGCTGTTCTATCCTTTCAACAGTATCCAGTTCTCAGTGATACCATTTGGGGTTTTCTTGGCAAAGATTCTGGAGTGGTTTGCCATTTCCTTCTCCAGCTCATTTGACAGATGAGGAACTGAGGTAAACTGGGTTAAGTGTCTTGCCCAGGGTCACACAGCTAGCACTCTAGCCGCTATACCACCTAGCAGCATTAGAATATAAGTTCCTTAAGGGGAAATGACTACCTTTTTGCTGCTATTTGTATTCCCAGCATTTAGCACAGCGTCTGGAACTTAGTAGGTACTTAATAAATGCTTATTCTGCTCTACTCCCATCTTCCTCCACAGCAATTTTCACATCAATCAACAAGAATAAAGTTACTTTTGCTATTTGTAGTTAAATAACTACTGAGTGATTAGGCCACCCACTAATGTACAGGGAAAAGTTAACAAATTTATATTTATAAATTCTGAAAGTGAGTATTTTAAGTGTCTCCTAATGCCAGCCCCACTCCCCCCATTAAAAAAACAAACACACATGATCTGAATTACTTGAATTGGATGTTTATAATTTTCAAACAGACCATGTAATTGCAAAATCTTCACTTTAATCTATACTGTGTAAATTAAGTTGAAAGTTCACTGGAAAATCCTATCTCTTTAGTCCAAGGGAGTTAATGAACAAATGTAAACCCTTTCTATTCTTCCTAAGGATTGTATTTGATCAGGATGGTGAAGGGCCTTAAAATCTTGCTAAGGATTGGCTGAAGGAACTGGGGATGCTCAGCCTAGATGAGAGAAGACTCAGGTTGGCCATGATGGTTACTTTCATGTATTTGAAGGGCTTAATGTAGAAGGGCTACTTTTAGTCTCCCTTGCCCCAGAGGGTGGAACAAGAAGTACTGAATGGAAATTATCAAAATGTTGAGATTTAGGGGTACTGGGACCCCAAAACAGCGATACTTGGGTCCTGCCTGAATGAATTTCACCCATGCCTTCTTTCAGCCAAACATAAGGCTTATTAAAGAGTCACTACATTGTCCAGACTCTTAAGGAATCTGAAAATTTGTGATGCTCCTATTGACAAGCAGGCTAGAGCGAATCTCAACCATTGCCTAGATTTTATGAATCTGAGCACCGTAATGGAGACAAGATATAGAATTTATACATAGAAAGACTGTGGGAGGGATCTAAAAGTGGACAAATAGTGTGGGGTGACTGGAGGAGGGGTCTAGGGATGATCTTGACAGGAGTGACTAGGAGGTACAATGGGGATCAAGATAGGATCAAGGGTGGGAAATGGCAGGAGGTGATACCGAGGTAACAGACAATGAAGGTTGGGTTGGGTCAGTGGTAACAGAATTGGGAGACTGGGTTTAGCCACAAAGAGAGGCCAGTTGAGAGGATTACTGGGATGATGCCTCAGGCAAATGTCAAAGACTTTGACCATATGGGAGAAAACTCCAGGAGAATTGGGGGAGGGGGGTTTCCCAGGATCCATACCCCATCAAAGAGGTAGTTTGATTTAAGGCATAATTTAGGATTGATCCCTAATAGTTACTGGTAACCAAAAAGGGGATGGTGTGCTTTAGAATGAAATGACCCAAATGAAAGCTTGATGCCCACTTGATAGAACCATTTTATGGGGATTCTTGTTCAGGTGTTGCTTGGGCTGAATATTCTCTGAGGTCTCTTCCAACTTTGTGATTCTGTGATAGAATGCCAAGGTAAACTGCCAATTTAGCATTTGGGGAAACACATTACTGATACTACCAAATGGTGTTGAATCAATCTGGATTGTAGTAGGAGGGCTAATTCACTTTCAGAGTACAGTGCTTGGATCAACCCCAGTGTTATTTCCCTGGCCTAATTTCAAGTGGGCTGGAGAAGCCAAGTTCAGAGAAATCCCCCTCCTTTGGCCAAGGAAGCTGGGGCTGGGACCAGGACAGGACTCTTACAATCCAAGAAAAAGCTCACTATGCATCTTACTTGGGAAGCTGCATTGTGGGACTGTGCTGACTGGTTGTAAACCCTATTTTAATTTTAAAATCACTTTTTATTTCAAATTATTTGATCATTTTTAATATCATGTTTTAGAATGTTCAAGTTCACATCATTTTCAAAGATGCTTCATCAAAGAATCCATTAGTATCTCTAACAGGAATTGGGGAGTGGCCACTTCTCCACAATGCTGAAGATCAGAAATGCTTGTGAGAAGGTGCAGGGGAAGGCGGGATGTGAACAGTTTCGCTGAATCTGGCGGGAGGGAGGAATAAGGAGCTGGGGAACATGATTTTGGCTAACATGGGCAAAACAGTCTGGACTATTGTCTTTTTAAAAAACTACCACAGAACATCTGTATACATCAAAAAGTTGAGAAGGCTAAAATCCCAAATAAAGTCAAGCTTATAAATTCAGAATTATAAGAATAAGGTGCTTCTCTCATAAGGTCGCAATATGCTTTCTTTTGTAGTTGTTACATATACTGTACATAAGTTATTCCCGACAGCTGCAGAAAGGATTCAGTGCATTTAAAAACAACCACAAAATAGAAAAGTCCAGTAAGAACCAGCCGTCCCATGTCCTCAGTTTGATCCTATGACTATTTACATAAATGGTCATCAGTAATTACAGGAACTTGCAGGCAGTGAAAACCACAGAGTAGTATCTTCTGCACATGGCAGTTAGCATGTTATTGGGTCTCTTTTAATGGCTTCTGAAGAAAATCTTCAGTTTGAAGAAAAATGTGAATTCAAGGAAATGTTTCCCAATTGTCCTTTCTTATCCTTTGACCCGAGCGCTTAGTGCCTTGTGGAAACTAAGCAGTTCTACTTCTTTGTGTGCTGACATTAAATGGCAGGAGGACTAGCATTGTTGCTGTAGCCAGCTCAGCCTGACAATAACAAACTTGCTCAATTTGTATGTGATCATAACATTTGACCAGTTACAAAAGTGTCTAAGACTTCAAACAATAGTCACACACACACACACACACACACACAACACTAAAAAAAAAAAACACCCTAAACTGAAACTTAACACATGGTGAGCACGTGTAACTCTTAGCTTCTCTATTTTTCTGGCTTGTATCTTGATGAACTGCTACACTGACAAACAAAGAAAAGAATGAGGTCATTCACAGGGATTTAAAATACCTGGTAGAGAATCCATTTTCACTGCAGTTCCCAATGGGTACTGCCACGCTCTGTCTGGGGAACTCTGGTCTAACCACAGCTGGCAGGCTCCAGTACTGTGCACCATCAGCACCCACAGCAGGACAAAAACTCAGCAAAATCTGTTTCTGCAGAAGGGACATCTCCAATGTGGATGGACCAATGTCAGGCATCAAGTCCCAGCAAGGAAGGGAACTGGATTCCATAGAAGGCTGATGTCTCCCTGGGCTAATGCTCAAAGTTGCACTGTCTGGAACATGCAAACACTGCAATGAGAGAAGATGGTGCAAAGGAGGGTTACTCAGTAACCAAAGGTTCCCAAACTTATTTGACTTTCTGCTTCCTTTAAAAAAATTACTCAGGGCACCCATGGAAATCTACTTTCTTTAACCCTTTAACGGTTTTTTAAAAAAATTTGCATCATTTCAAAAAAATACCACCCCCCTGGATCGTGCCAGCACCCTGCAGGGTTCCCACTTTGGCAATCCATGCTAGAAGAACACAGTTTTGTTTAAAAAAAAATTTGTTTTTTAAAAATATAACTACTTAGGAGAGCATGGAAAGAGCACTAGACTTGAAGTCAAAAAGATCTGAGTTTGGGTTCAGGTTCTGCCCCTTGCTAGGTTTTTTTTAACTTCTCAGTTTTCTGATTTATAAAATGGAAATAAAAGTATTTGTACTACTTACCTCAGGATTATGGTGAGAAAACTACTTTGTACATAAAGCATGGTATGTTTGAAAAAGGTATGGATTTAGAGCCAAGAGAGGAAGGGCTAGATCCAAATCGTACCTCAGGTGCTTACTAGCAATGTGACCATGAATGAACAACTTAATTTCTCAAAGTTTCAGTTTCCTCATTTGTAAAATCTTAAATATTAAAGTACTATGTTAATAATGGTTCATATCATCATTATCCACGTCAACTATAATGACAATAATGTTAAAATATGGTGGATATATGGCAGCAAAGCCTTCTAGAGGATATAGTAGGATCCCTTTGCCCTCTTCTGGTGGGGGGCAATAGGCATGTCAACATGATCTGTACTGAGTAGGGGGGGAATGTAAGGTGCACATATGAGATGAAGTTAGTCATCTTCACGTGCAAGGCACACATGGTCTCATACCCAGTTTGCTTTTGTTTAAGAACTGTAAAAGACATCAATGGCCTTATTGTCCAACCCAGTTGTGAATGGAATCCCTACTGAAACATACTGGACAAGTGATCCGTTGACTCCTGCTTCAAGTTCAAAGAGGGGGAATTCATGACCTCTCACGGTGGCTCATTCTGCTCTGGGACAGCTCTGATTGGAAGGAACTTTTTCTAACATATATGAAGGGTCATGGTGGGGTTACCTTGCCTAGAATCATTACCCCTATCCAGGTGCTGGAATGACTGGCATTCCACCATCATACAATCATTTTGAGATGCTGGGATGTCCTTTTTCAAAGGACAAGTATACACCAATTATGTCCTTCTATGAATAAATTTAGTAGATTACTTGGGGATATCTACACCAGAGGGGATAACCTCCCAGCCCTTGGGTGAATTACAAAATTCCCGGCCAGGAACTAAATCATAATATAACTGGGAAATGTTTAATGAAATAAATAAAAAATATAATTGTTGTTGTTGAGTTGTTTCAGCTGTGTCCAATTCTCTGTGACCCCATTCGGGGTTTTCTTGGCAAAGATGTGGGAATGGTTTGCCATTTCCTTCTCCAGTTCATTTTACAAATGAGGGACTGAGGCAAACAGGGTTAAATGACTTGCCCAGGGTCACACATCTAGTAAGTCTATAAGGCCATATCTGAGCTTAGGTTCTCTTGACTCCAGGGCTGGTGCTCTATCCACTGCATCACCTCCCCAAAATATAATACAAAAAATATAATGTTAATTTGTGGTTTTCTAATCCAATGTGTGGCTGGCAGGGATCTATTTCTATTTGAGTTTGACACTCCTAGTCTACATGAGGGAAAAACGCAAAAGTGCCTGAGGCACAGTAACGCACTTAATAAATGCTTATTGACTGACTTAAGACAGACTTTCTCTGCTTCACAATTTTGCCTTGAGGACAAAGGCCTTGGGTAGAAGGAGGAACTTTTATCTTAATCTTTAGGTGGAAATTCTCAGGGTCCACAGCAAGTTGACAGAGTAGGGAGAGGAATCACGGAAGAATCAAAGAGTGGGAAGACTTGGATTTCATCTCTGGTTCTGTCATTTACTGGATGTGTATTAATTTCTTGGTCTATAAAATGGGTTTAATAATATTCACCTGACCCACTTCACAGTACTATTATGAGACATAGATACATCATCTAAAATAAGTGGAAGTATTTTGTGTTAAACAGGGATACTTTATTAGGGATTCCTATGCAGCAATTCTTCACAGGATCACAGAGGAGAGGGAGAACTCTTCCCAACTCTAGGAAAGAACCCAAGGTAGAAGTGAAGCAAAGTTTCTCTGTTGTAGGGAAATATCCAACCCTCCAATCCTGCCAATCCAATCGCTCGAGGAAACTCTGGGGAATTATGAACTCGGTAAAAAATGACAAGATCCCATGAGTTCTTTTCACCACTCCTCTGAACTCCACAAAGGAGACACTATTACTTTCTTATGTCCTTAGAAGCACAACGAGTTAGGACACTTCTTTCAGGACATCTCAGCATCTTTCTGTAGCATTTCCAAGGAGCAAGATTAAATCATATTATTATGAAAAATGCTCATGAACTTCATGTCAATACTTATAATTAAAATGAATGTTTAGAATTTTCCCCCTTTATGGTTGTTTTAATGCCAACTTCAAGGGTCAAAGATAATGAAAGATAATAAGTGATAAGCTGGACTATAAATTCTCTGAGGGTCTTATTTATCTTTTTATCTGCCAAACATCACACATTGCCCGCATCAGGCACTGAATAAATGTTTACTGAATAAATGAATCTTCTGAATGGGCTTGCAATTTAATACTCAAATTCTGCAAGCTGGGACCTGAACATTTAACTTCCCCAAAGTCTGAAAAAAAAAAGGGATTTTCACAAAAGAAATGTGTTCTACAATGGTTTCAATAACATATAGCTTAGTTTGTAACTTGCTTGTAAGTCTCATTCAAATCCTACCTTAATATCACCAAATTTAATCGCTCCTATTAATCGTAAAAGCGGTTGCCTCACAATCCCTCTGAGCATTCCTGGACTCTGCCTCTGTATGTTTATTTCCTGCACATACTATTCTGTCACCAGGATTCTAATATAAATGAGTTGATGCATTTTCACGGCTAACCTTTTCAACTGCACACAATTTCAATGTTTCCAGACCCATGGCTTTTGTTCAGGTACTGTAGCTCTGTCCAAACTGCTACCTCAAACTGGCCTGTGAAGCACATGTACTTCTCCATGAGAACCTTGAGCAGATTCTCAGAACTGCTTCCACAGCTATTATGGATTACAGCAAGCATATTAAAGGACTGGTCTGCAGCCTCTGAACAGATGTACATCAGACAGAGCTAAGCCTGCATTGTGTCAGAATCTGCTGCTTTGGAAGGATTCTGATGGGAACTAATTACCTTAGAAGCATTGGCCATGACTTCTGTCAGTGTTTGTAATTAAAGAAAAAGCAATGGATTTATCTTTACCAATTTTTAATTTGAGGGGATTTTCCTTCTAGTTTTTTTTTTTAGAGGCTAATGGAGTCCTATGTCTAAATGTTAATTTTTCCCAATGGTAGAAGTTAACCTTAAAACCATTCCTGGAATCCCTTACCTCCTCCTCTCCGTAACAGGGACTTGGAACAGTTAACTGTGGCTTACAAAATATTTGGTATGGAGTATCATTGGTGATTATGGTCTCATCTTCAATCTGTAGAATTTGTATACCTTGCCGAACCATCGAAGAAATGCAGAACTGGCATAGCTTTGAGAGAAATGAAAGAAAAAGAGTGGCTTGTAGACCATGATATAGTAAGTAAAGAAATCCTTTTCCTGAGCACAGCTTCTGATTGGTCACAATGGGTCATGATTACTGCACACACTCACCATTCCAGTCAGCCTTTGAGCTCAAGTGGGTTTCCAGACCTTGGTCCCATCCAGTGACTTACATAGATTTGTCTTTAGGGTTATCATGGAAGCTACCTCGCTAAGAGCTCATTTCTTAAAGAGAGACGGATGTGAGTAAATTTTCTAAACCCAGGAACTTTTATTTTTCAGCTGGCTGTCAATCTAGGGTGATTCCACACAGATCATCAAGAATCTAATCATTCCTAAGATGAGAAAATTTCCATCACATGTGTCTTCTGTTACCTGCTGTTTCTGTCCAAGTCCAAAGAAACTGACCCAGACAACTTGAGAGTCTTAAGTCAAGCTGTAGGAAAAAGCCCCAAAAAACCTTTTTCCTCATGCCTTCTCTTGAAAGCTAATGAATCCTGCTGCCTTTAAGAGAATTTCTTGGTGGAATTTCTAAGGTTCATTTCCTGTCCCCTCCTGAGATTAGCTGCATCAAAGTAATATTAAATGTCAGCCTTTGAAAGCATCTCAATGATGTCTGTCCTTTCCATTCCACTTAGTTTCAAGAATGTGTCTACCCATTTATCAGTTGGCAGGGATTGTTACCAGTGAGGAGTGTAAGCATTACTATGAGGCTAAAGTGGGAAACATCTTCAAAAACTGATTGTCTTAAATATTTTCCACTAATTCTGTGTACTTTCTTCTTTTTAACATACTTTTTAAAAGGGTGGAGCTTCTGGAGGTGGGATGCATATGAAAGGAAATTCCTGTTTTCTCTTTCGGCTTTCAGAGGGCTTCACCAAGTGGCTTCAGCCCACCTTAGCAGGCTCGTTGCATGTCTTTCCTCTTCAAGCACTCCTCTTCCCAGCCAAACTGTCTATATATATTTTCCAGACATCTCATTTCCCCACCTGGGATGCATTCCTTCTTCACCTCTACCTTACAGAGGTGAAGAGGCTACCTTTCAGAAGCCTTAGCTTCCTTAAAACCTCACCTCAAACAGCTGAAGCATAGAGTAAGTGAAGGGATATGATATTTAGTCAGTCTGAAAAGACTGGAACCAGCTTGTAAAGGGTGTCAAATGCCAAATGCAGCAGTTTATATTTTATACTAAGGACAACGGAATACCAGTGAAGCTTCTTCCACTAGGTAGTGACATGTTTTGATGTATGTTTGAAGAATATCAATTTGGCAGCTGGGAGGAGGGTGAACTGGAGATGACAGAGACTAGATGCAGAGACATGATGAGGGTTCGGACTAGAGAGGTTGTGGGGTATGTAAGTAGAGAGAAAGGAGGATGACAACAAGAATTGGCAACTGATTGGGTACAGCACTTTTGGGTGCAACTCATTGCTGGTAATTTGCTGCCAATTTAGAGTAACCAGATTTTTTCCATTTGATTGGGGTACCTTTGTTAAAAAGTTGCACATCAGATTTATTGTCAGGCCAAAATTCCCTATTAAATATTGTTTCTAGGGAAAATCAGATTAAACTCACATTACTTTTCTTAGAAACAGAGTCTACAGTCAGTTCAAAGATTGCCTATGGTTCCTTATTAATGCTTGCAAGGAGAACAATTCTATTTCCTGCCCTAAAGAGAAGAGGCCAAATACAGTGTGTGGAGATTTTGGAGTATGTCCTCCCCCTCTCTTTTTTTTTTCTCATACTCTAAATCAAGTGACTGCTGAGTGTTTTGAAACAGAATAGCTCCTGGACAAATTATGTGATCTAGCTTTTATTATTTATTGGTCAGGGAAAAAACTATAAACCAGAGCACAATGAACTCAAGAATCTAGTGTTTTCTTGTTTTAAATTAATGCCTTAAGACAAATTAGAGAAGAGTAAACTAATGTTAAATTATATTCAGAGATGAGTATATATTGATATGTGTATATATATATGTGCATACATAGATGTATAAACATGTATGTATGCATGTATATGTATGCGTGTGTGTGTGTGTGTGGGGGTGTGTAGTCACACATTTTTCCTGAAGTCACACAGAATGTGATCCTACCTTCTGATGTCCCGGGAAAGCACCAAGTCTTATTTCAACACCTACAAACCCTTCTTCATCCAATACCACAACTTCTCCATTGCCGCCATCTTTCCATTTGGGAGATGTCATGTTGTGGACCAATTTAATTGCCACTGATTTATGCACAGTGTTTGTATTTGCCCAATATATTCCAATTTGAAAAGCTTCCTGGAAAATTAATGATTCAATTAGAAAGAATTTTTTATTCTACTTTAACTGACAACAATGCATAGGAATTGCTTAGGTTACATAATGTTTGTCTATTAATGCAGCAGTCCCTGCCTGTTTTTGTCCCCTCCCTATTCCCCATTTTGCCAGTTCTTTGTCTTTCTCTATCACTAAATCACTTTGAATTTATCTTATATTCATTTCTCATAAACCCCTTGAAGGCAAGAACTGTTTCATCACTTAGTGATGGGAAGAAAGGAAGTGCTTAATAAATGCTTGGATAGCTGATTAACTGAGTTACACTTTTCTGGAAATCCAGACTTTTATATTTCTGTGATTAAAGCTGTTTATGAGTTACAGTGGTATTCAGTGATGAAAAAAACAATCCTGTTAACTCCAAAAGGTTTAAAAACTTGGAGTCTAATCTCATTTTATCCAGGAACATTCTTGATTTACATATGCTACATAGGCCCACTTTTAGGAGGTATCATCATTTGAAAGCTCATAGAAAGATAAGCATTCAATTACCTGAAAATGTTTCTGTATTGCAGGCTCTGAAGTTCTTCCTGACCCATGAACCACAAGATTTGAGCATACTTTTCACTCTATTGTCCTGCACAGCTAGAAACATTGTCATGTCTTTGAATCCCTAATAGGGCACTAACATAATACCTCCTATGTGACTCTAAGCAAGTCACTCAACTTCTCCTGGCTTCAGTTTCCTCATCTATAAAATGAGGGGTGGGAATAATAATAGCTAATATTTATATAATGCTTTAAAGTTTGAAAAACACTTTATATAATTATACCACTAGATCCTCACAACAACCCTGTGAGGTAGGTACTAGTATTAAATCCATTTTACAGGTGAGGAAACTAAGGTTGAGAGAGGCTAATGACTTGTCCAGGCTCATCCAGTATCTGAAGCAAGACTCAAAATTAGGTTTTTCTGACTCCAAATACTGAAACCTATCCACTATGTCACCTAGATGCCACATTATATGATTTCTAAGGCCCTAGAAGCTGTAAATTTATAAGCCTATGTAACAAAGAATTCTATGTAGTCATCATTAGCAAAACATAAAATCATATAGCAGGTATAAGACTATGCAGTAGACTTAGCAAAGAAGATTTTGACAAACTTTTATCTAGAACCCCTAACTCTATTCTTCTATAAAAGCCATCAAGAAGTCTGCTAGCACGGGCAGTTGATGGTGCAGTGGATAGAGAACTGGCCCTGGAGTCAGGAGGACCTGAGTTCAAATCTGGCCTCAGACACGTGATCTTCTCTAGCTGTGTGACCCTGGGCAAGTCACTTAACCCCAGCTGCCTGGCCAAAAATGAATAAATAAAAAAAAAACAAACAAACAAAAAGAAGTCTGCTAGAGCTGGGTGTGGTGGCACGTGCCTCTAATTCCAGCTAGCAGCAAGGCAGAGGGTAGGGCTCTTGAGCTTGGTACCTGCAAGCCACAGTGGGCTGTGTTGATTGAGTGTCTGTATTATGTTTAATATCAATATGGTCAGCCTTAGGGAATGTGGAGAGGGTCACCTGGATGCTTAAGAAAGGGTAAACTGGCCCAGTTAAGAAGCTGTGCAGGTCAAAGTTCCCATGCCAATCAGTAGTCAGATTAGACCATGAGAAACCCACATACTTCCAGCCTGAGCAAAGATTGTCTTTTTTTCCCCCCTTTTTAGGCAATTGGGGTTAATGACTCACCAGGGTCACACAGCTAGTAAGTGTCAAGTGTTTGGTGTGAGGCCGGATTTGAACTCAGGTCTTTCTGACTTCAGGGCCTGTGCTCTATCCACTGTGCCACCTAGCTACTCCTGAAAGATTGTCTTAAGGAAAAAAAAAGTCCACTAGGAGTATATGTGTTGGAGATGGGGGCAGGGAAGAGGGAAATAGGAGAGACAGTGGTAGTTAACATCTGTTAGGTTTTTTTGATAGCACATGACAAACACTCTAGGTAGACCTGTTGCTTATGCGTGCCAGCTATTGTACACACTGTGGAAATGACAAGTAGATTTTGAAATAAGCACAAGTTATCATAGTTTAAATCAGCCCAAGTGCCAAATATAGGTATCAAGAAAGTTTATTGATATCAGCATTGTCATCTTTGAGTATCAAAATAGATTTCATATTCTATAGTTATATATCAGAAGACTGAATGTTACTTCTTACAAATAATCTCTATGGGCAAGAATGTGGGCAACATATCACAATAAATGCTGGCTGGTGAGAGAAAACAATTTGTTTTAGCTTGAAGAGAGTAGGTACCTGAAAATTAGGAGGGATGATAATTTTGCCAGCTGGAACCTGCAGAATGATCTTCTCTCCTTCAAAAAGCCACAGGTCCCACTTAGACTGATTGATAAGCAAGGCCCAGGGCAGGAGTTCTATCAGCAACGTGTTAACATATGACTTCCAGACAGATAGCTTCACCCGCATAGGGCTGTCCCACTGACTCAGCTGTTCATTACTGCTCCACATGCCACATCCAAGAGATAGAATGGAATAAGTTCAGTATTACTAAAATAGGCTTAATGATTTTAGACACAGAACATTTTTGTTTAATAACTTCACACCAAATACTCCTACTGCAAACTTGCTGACCAAAGGAAATGGTAACTGTTGCATATCATGAGCTTTGTCTTTTGCAGAGAATCTAGGCTTTCAGTTAAGTATCCAAAAACTTACTCATAAGAAGATGAAATCTCAAAATTTGAGGAATGAATGAAAAAGACTTTTATTTACCTTTACTATAACAACAAACTTTGTAAATAAATAAAATGTCAACTGTCTCCTCAGTGGTGATGTACTATTTGCGATGAGAGACGGCTGGAGAACATTACCTGTCAGCATCCTTTTTATTATAGGGCCACACAGGCTGGGGAGAATTCTCTGGGCCATAGAACTCTGCGAGAATCTGATTCACTGGGCCTTCAGGGTGAGTCTTCGTAGCTATTTGTTTGATGAGTGCTGTGGAGATAGGGACAGCACAGTCTGAAGGATCCTCCTCTTCCCTGTGAAATGAAAAAAGAAAATAAGAATAACTATATGATTCCTCTAAAATTCGATAGTTTATCAAGATATTACAATTATAAATTTACTTAGGAACAAAAATAGTAATGATGACAACTTAATAGAAAGCACTGGGGTTACAAAGTAACTGCACAGTTAATTCTCAAACCCCAAAGGTAGGAAGTACAAGGATTATTGTCTATAGATAAGGAAATTGAGGATTAAGGAGGGGAAACGTGTTGCTCAGGCTCACAGCTAGGAAGTGGCAAAGTGGGACTTGAACTCAGATCTTCTGACACCAAGCTCAGTGCTCTTTCCCATCTGCTCTGCTAATTCTCGTTTGGCTTGGCAACGAGTCAACTCCCTATCATTCTGGGACTGATTCTGCTGGTTGTGTATTATCTGATTGCTTGGGCTATTTCCCTCCTCCTCTGCCCCATTCTCTATTCATCCACTAGAGAATTCTGGTTTAGTCGTGAATTTCACTTGATCCAAACTACCTGTCTGCTCTGTTTCTATGAGAAAATGATTTGTTTGGCTAGATTTTCATCTGAAAGATGGAAGAGTAACCAGGGGGAGACAGACCAGAGAACTTTCAAGATAGCATTCCCATGAAAAACAAGATATTTCAACAGTGAGTTTTACATAATTCTTTTCCTATTTGGATAGAGAAGGTCAATTTTCTACTGAGTTCATTTAGGAAGACACAGACACATTTCCATTACCTTGCTTGAAATGTTAGGTGATGCACGAGATCGGGTTCTATGTTTTGCAGTGATTTCTCTTGCCCCTGTCCTGGAATGATCTGTGTTTCACTCAATCCCAGACTCCTTTTCTCCAAATGTATGATAATGGGGTCTGGAAGATGACTCCTCATGATAAAAAGTGGGCTGAACACAATCTATAAAAATGAAAGGACAGAACAACTTTCATATTTGCTTTGTTGCAGTATTCCAGCTGCTTGATGCTGAAACAAACTTGCAATAAATCTCGGCTCTGGGTCACTCTGCCCTTAATTTATTTCGGAACGTGAAAGGTCAGAGCTATATACAGTTTTGAGGATAGCCAAAGCACTCACCATTCGTTGCTCCACTTGAGAACTGGGTTCTAAAGTCAGAACTGTACACCAAACATAGATAATAGAACTGTTTGAAGATGGCACCTGTATACACAAAGACAGAGAGGTCCCAGTAAGGACAATTTTTCTAACCATGAAGCTAAAGGTTTTACTAGTTAAAAAGGAAGCCATGGAGATAAAATGTAAGCTAGATGGAATTTAAAAGCCCACAACACAAACAAACAGAAAAAAAAACCAGTTTAAAGTCACAGAAAAACCAAACATTTCTTTGTATCAGATATAAAAGTAAATTCATCGACCCAGGCAGAAACCGGCAGGTTTCCCCATCTCATGGGATGCAGACCATTCATTTTCAAAGGGATGAAGACAGCGAGGTCTAGGAGGATAGAGTGACATAACAGTGAGTGAGTGAAGGGAGACTGAAACAGAGGGGCTGTGTGTGCCAGGGAAAGAAACATGGCAATGCTAGCCTGGAGAATACCTCAAGTGAGGCTGGTGATTGGCACTCTGCATTCACCTCTACTACTTTAGTGACAGAAGATACAAAGAAATATGAATGACTTACTTTCCCTTATAATTTTCTCAATAAAACAAATATGCCGAAGAGCAAGGGAATCTACAAGAAGGTCTCATTCTAATAAAATTCCCTATCCCCAAATGCCTTTGTTCTCCTACCTGGATAACAAGGCTGTACTCAGCGGGTTTGTCTTCTAAGCACACATCTCGTGACCAGGCTTCATCCCCTTCAGCCTTCACACACAGTTCTGTGAGTTCATGATTTTCTAGAACATAGGATGGTAATTTGTGTTTGCCTCTGAGGATGTCCAAATGCTCCCTGACCACAGCCTGTCCGTCAGGCCCCATCACGTGCTGTGCCACTTTGAGTTCAATGTTCTGGTCTAAGTAGCTGCTGATGATCTGTCTCCCGCAGATGATAATCTATAAAGCACAAAACCAGGTACCATCATTTATAAAAGATTGTATACAGGCGCTGGTTATTTACATAGACAAGGTTCTCTAATGAAAAACCTTATCAATTCAGATTTCATTAGTGAGAAAGTTGTGAGAATTTGGACAGGATTAACATTTTCATCTTACATAGACTCATTCACTGAGCTGACTATAGTCTAACCCTCTGTACCTTTGCTCTGTATTAAGCAGAATTACTAAATAAATTAGTAGGATAAATATGATAACAAAGGTCATATTTAACCAATAAAAAACAAACTGCTTCCAAGCATTTCAGAAGTAGCCATTTATAAATACATACTCATTATAATTTTACAAATGACAAAGAAGTCCAAAGAAATTTTTAATTTGCTTATTAGAGGTCACTACATATTTTAGAAAGAAATAAAAACCATTTTTTCCCTTAAAAGGTAATCTATACCTTGATCTATCTGCTAATTCAGACTTTTTCTTAATTCTTTTCCCCAATTAATCTGAATTACTGAGGCTTAGCATAATTGTTTATATAATATAAATATTCCTAAAAAAAAACCCAAAACTGCAAATCGCGTGGCATTTTAAACCTATTCACTATCAGTACTTTGAAAAGAGCCCTAGATCTAGAATCAGAAACTGGAGTTCAAATTCTGGCTCTGCTACTTATTTCCTGTATGACCTTGGGCAAGGCATTTGTCTCTGACTCAATTTCTTCATCCATAAAATGAGGACGTTGGAATAGATGACCTCTAAGATTCTTGCTAGCTCTAACTCTAAAATATGATATAACATTATAAAGAAAACTTGTATTAAGCAAATGATCTTCAACAATGTGAATATTCACCTTCTAATTTTGTTTGGGAAGGTTGTATTTCCACATACACACATATATCATGTATTGTGTGTATGTATTTATAATGATAGACACACCTGTATAATCTGACTAAACGCCATTCTTTGCTCCCTCCCCCTCTCCAATTTTAACACCGTCTTTTGGACAATTTCCAATATAAATCTAAAGGGTGGGAAGCAAGGGTAAGTGGTGAACGAGTAATAACCAGAATATTTGAAAACGCTTTCACAGTAATATGCAGAGGCACCAGCTACACTGTGGAGTGCTAGATTAGAGGGTAAATTCTTCTTCTGAGTAGGCTAAACACTCTAGTGCTGTGTAGAGTTTTAAGAAAGTTACACAAAAGTAATGGCTAAAATAAATTTCAGAAAGTTCAGAGACAATATTGTAAATCTCTTCTTACTTTGGACATGCCTAGGACCTGGCAGCTCATACATAGTGCTATTGCTTTGGAAACCTTGGGCCCCATGAGATCAAGAACAGAATTTTGCTGTCTCTCTCAGCAACCATGGCATATCTGTAACCAACTGGGAATCACTTTATTTAAAGACAAAAATCCCCATTTGTGGCGTTTTATAGCTTCATTTTTAACTAAAAAACCCTGTCAAGCTGGTTTTCAAATTTGATAAAAAGAAAACCTTTAAAACTGACCATGGAGACTTGGCTACTTAGAAGAAGAAAATCTAAAATCGTTGCCTCCATCTTGGTGGTGGTATTTCATGTCTCCTATAGTGCAGGGTTCAGTGGAGGCAAGAGTCTGCTTTTCTTCAAAGTGGCAACATTCACCAAGCTTTCATTTCACAAATTGTGGACAGAATTTTAGGATTATTTCATCAGTTGAAGACAGATACTTAAGCTTTTTTTTTTTTAATATAGTGTTTCTACTTAATATATATTTCTAGGTTTTGTTCTAATCCCCTCACTTTCCCCCGACAATCTCATAGAGATGTGTATTGAAGATTTCTACATATGATTTTACTTAACAGGTTTTGAAACTCTTGTAAGATCAGAGCCAAGAAGATATTGAAGAACAGCTCCTGAACCTCCTACGCAATGGAATATTCTATCTTTAAAATGATTAAAAGAGCATGGATATACACACACATTGATATCTGCAGAGTAAGTAAAAGCTGCCTCCTTGAGGAGATGCAAAACTGCTCTCTATACGCATTGACCATGTGTGGTTATGTGAACTTGGAGCTTTTTATGGAGTAAAAAGGCACTGAAATTTGATGTGCACATTGTTGTCATTTTGAAGATGACAGCTGATGAGTCTGGAGAGTGAGTGTGTGTGTGTGTGTGTGTATGTGTGTGTGTGTGTGTGTAGGCAGGGCCAGAGACGCAGCTCTATGATTGGCAGTGTTTTCCATACTATATGTATGGACTGTGCTTTGGTTTGATGTTACAGATGTGGCTTGTTGGGCTTTTCACTGTTTGCTGTTCCACCTCTGGCTTTGCTCAAAGTGAACCACCTTCTGACTGCTCCATTTTTGGCTGGCTTGGCCACTGCTGCTGTTTCCCAGCATTCCACAGAATTGCTTTGTTTAGAAACTGATTCTATTATACAGCCCTGTTACTGTGCTGTTGACAAGAAATTCTGAAACTTCAAGCACAAGTTTGTATGTGTGTGTGTGTGTGTGTGTGTGTGTGTGTGTGTGCCTGTGCACGCGTGCGCACGTGTGAGTTTGTTCTATGAGGGTGGGGGTAGAAAACGTGCTTAAGAAACTAGGCAAGAATTCAGTTCCTTCTTACTTCCTGTGTAAGAAAAGACCTAGAAGTGTATATATAAACATATGAGCTCAGTCACAGTTACACATTTAGATATGTAAAGATACAACTACTCTGGGAGACTGGAGTGCTCATTAATGCCTCGGTACTTCCTTTCAAAGGTAAGTGTGATAGGAGTGCTGCTAACATTTCACTAAAGTAACCAAAAAAAGGTCCTTTCCTGGTTGGTTGATCTCTCTTTACCTTCTGAAAGCACATTCATTATACAGAGGTGGATAGAGCAGGTCAAAGGCAAGAGTAAAGAAAAGGGTGAGGTAGTTCCCACAGGGAAGTATTACTAATACTTAGCACTGCAAATAAAATTTAGAAAAAACCGGGAGTGTTTTTGAACTGGCACCAGATGCCTTTACAATATATGGATTTGTCACTAGGAGAGAAGGCGACTTAAAGGATCTATGTAGATGGGGATAAGGAAGTTCAATTTTTTTTTTTAAATCCCAAGGCTTGAAAGTTCTTTTGCTTGGTCCTGTTTCAAGTCAATATTTATATTGAAATTTTTTAAAGCATATAATTTTAAACCAAGAAACTGAGGCAATCTGAAGGGAACAAATATACATTTAGTTATTTTAAAAAGTAAGCATAGTAGAGATTTAAAAAATACATTCTTTATATAACCAACTACATTTGACTTCTGCCATATTATCATTTAGTATATAACATTTGCATTGAGGAACCTCAACATAAATTAAAATGTCACTGAAATTTATTCTCTTCATAGAAAATACATAATTTCCATCCAGAAAGGAGATATACTCTTTCCACAAATTACCACAAAATACAACTGGCCACAATCATGCCTTGGAGAGTTCTCACGGCCACAGTGAGCACTAATAATCACTTACACATAAATGGGTCCAGTCATTTAACTGATTGGTGAGGATTTCTTAATGTACAAATGTATATTTATGTACATGTATGCATACACATGTGTACTTATGTAATTTAAAATACATATACATCTATATATGTAAATAATATACATATATAACTTGTCAATATGTATATAATTTAATACAAACACATATAATAGATACTAATACTTTTATGATCCATGACTTGATACTATTTTTTACATTTCTATATATATGTTTGAAGGTTTGCAAAACATTTTCCTCAGAACAACTGTGTGAGGTTACAGATTGTAAAAGTATTAGTATTCAGACTTTACAGTTGAAGAGGTATGCAGAGGTGGGTTGATTAGGACACCCATTTGATGAAATCAAAGAAGATAAGCAGCAGGTAACAGAAAATGTGGTGCTAACGTTTTAAATCAGGGGTGCTTAACCTTTCTGTGTCATGGACCCCTTTGACAGTCTAGTGAGGCCTATGGACCCCTTCTTAAAAGAATATTTTTAACTACATAAAATAAAAGATATAGGATTACAAAGGAAGCCAATTACATTGAAATAGTTTTCAAAATATTTAAAAAGCTAACTTCAGAGACCCCAGGTTAAAAACTCCTCTCTTAAATGAAGTGTAAAGAAGTTATTTTTTTTTTTATTTCTTTTTGAGGCATGAAGAAATTCTCTGATCAAAACTGATAGAATTAGTTGGCTGCTGGTCATTGGCTAGCCAAGGATCAGCAATGCATGTGGTGGTCCTAAAGAGTCAGGTCACAGTAGAGGGAAGGAACAGCTGAAGAATATGACCTTTGGCACAGAGAAGACAGTCATCTATGAAAGAAGAAAGAAACCAGCCCTTGAGAAGGAATCATTCTTCATCTTTGTCTTGTGTGAGAAATTTCTTTCTTGCCCCTCAGCCCTGGCATCTTACAGCACAGCTACTCGTCTAGCAGGAAACACTGAACCCAGTAGGGAGCTGCTCCAGCAGTTGAGGCAGGAGACAATTCTTAGGAGAGTGAAATTTGATGGTTGAGAAGAGAGTAAGCCCTGGTTATTCAGAGTTGAACTATGGAAGAGAATAGGCCCAGGAAGTGGGTCTAAGAGACTTGCTTTGCAGAGATCCTACGTACCTACCGGGAGTAGTATGAGAAGGGAAAGGACTCTGAAGTCTGTGATGCTGGAGGTGTGAGTTATCAGGACCATGTGTGTTCCATACAAGTATTCTTCTAAAATTGTATTCTGTGTATATGCCCACCCTTTCCACTGGTGCTGTGTATTTTTATGGAAGGATGTGCTCCAGGTTTACGTGCTAGGGAGAATGTTCTGCTTTGATCTAACAATCTAGCTGATTATTAAAGATAAGCACAATAATGGGGGCTCATATGCCACAGTTTCGGGAGTGTAGATCCACAGAGCAGCTACTTTTCTCTCCTCAACTTGCAAATGTGAATTTGGGGGCATCCTAGGGAGGGGTCTCTGAGAGATTGTGACTAGCTCATAATCACATAAGTTGCAAGTTTATGAAGCAGGATTTGAATCCAGGTCTCTTGAGTCAAAGTCTGGCACAGTACTGACATGACTAGATCTGTGCATAAGAAAAATTAATCTGGATGTGGTGTGAAAATTGTATCAGTAGGGAACAACACTGTAGGCTTAGAGACAAATACTAGTTAGAGGAGACTATTACAATAATCTGTGAGAGAGGTTATTAGGGCTTGGATTAGAGTGAGAGCAATAGGAATGGAAAAAAGCCAAAGACTATTTGCAGATGAGGTTTCAAACACAGGTAGTCAGGTAAACAGTGGTGTCATTGATGGAAATATGGAAGACCGGAGGAACAGCAGATTTGAGAGAAAATACAATGATGAGAAGTTCAGTTTTAAACATGCTGAATATTTGGGGACATATGTTGAGTGCTCTGCCACTAACTAGATGACCTTTGACAAGTTAGCAATCTTTTTTTTCTTCATTATTTTTTTTTATTCATAAGCACTTATTTTTTTCTCCCTTCCATCACCACCCCCAGTGGAAAAACAAAAACAAAAAAACAAAATAAATATGGATAGTCAAATAAAACAAACTTCTGCAACAGTCATACCCAAAATTTTATGCTTCCTTCTGCATCTGTTAGGGTGGGTGGCTGCTTTACCCTCAGTCCCCTGGAATTCTGATTAATCATAAGTTATGTGGCTTTACAATGTTGTTATTATGCAAATTGTTCTCCTGGGTCTGTTCACTGCACTCTGCATCACTGCATAAAAGTCTTCCCAGGTTTCTAAGAAATTGTCCCTTTCATCATTTCAGTAGCAATCTTTCTGACCCTTAGTTTACTTATCAGTAAGATGAGAGTGGAGTGGACTGCAGAGAAGATCTTTTTCATCACTAAAATCAACTGACTCACAGCACCATATCTAGGGGGTAATAATTGTGGGAGGTGGGTGGCCAACCTTACCTCCCACTACAGTGAAAACTGTTTGAAGGAATTAGGAATATTTAGCCTAGAGTAAAGAAGACACAGGGGGCCACAACAGCTGTCTTAAAATTATCTGAAGGACATTTATGTGGAAGGGGGATTAGGTTTGTTTTCCTTGTCCTTGTTGGCAGAAGAACAACAGGTAGAAAAGTACAAAAGGAAAAATGTAGATTCGGTGTAAGAAAAAAAATCCAAAACAATTAGAGATATTCCAAGTGGAACAAACCACCTCTGGAGGTAGTAGGAGCCCTTGAGAAGGATGTAAAGGAGATTTTTTTTTTTTTAAATCAGATTTTTAGACAAGAGAGCCTTTGCGATTCCTTCTAACTCTGATATTTGGTGATTCTAAACTTGAAGACTAACAACGCTGGTTCACTCACCCTTCTCCAAATAGTATCTGTGCATTCCTGTAATCAGTTCTGTCCCTGGAATGATCTTCTAATTTCTTTGTCTGTCCACATCCTATCTATCTTTCAGCATCTAGTGTGGCAGACTGGAAAACACACTGGATTTGGAATGGGAAAGACCCAGATTTAAGCCCAATTTCTCTGCCTTAGTAGTTTGTAATCTTAGGCAAAACACTGAAACCTCTCTCAGCCTCCAGGTCCTCATGTGATGTATAAAATAAGGATAATAATATTTTTACTCCCTAGTTCACAGAGTTGTGAACATCAAGTGTTAACCAAAGTGTTAAGTAAATGTTATTTGTTGCTGTTGCCAGGAATACCCAACTTATATCATAAAGTAATGAGTTCTCTCTGACTGGAGGGGTTCAGTTGGATGCTGGATGACCACCTGCCAAATATTCTAAGTAAAAGATTACTGTGGGAATGGGAGGTAGGCTGGGCTAAGTGACCTCAGGTCCATTCTGATTCCATAAGTCTGTGATTTACTAAAGCGAGCCTCCTCCAAGAAGTCTTCCCTGACCCTTTCTGACAGTGATCACTTCCTTAGAATTCAATTCAATTCAATTCAACAAGTATTTATCAAGTATCTTCTTTATGCAAGGTACCATGCTAGGCACAAGAGATACAAAAACCAAAATCATTCACTGCTTTCAAGGAGTAACACTCTACTGGAGAGTTTCACTATCTACACATAAAAGTAAATACAAATCTGACATAAAAATTTCGTGCAGGGAAGATGGCACCTGGCTGAGCCCTGAAGGAAGCACAGAAATAGGACAGGAGAGAGCATGTTAAGCTCAGTCCAGGATACCAGCCCTGGAGAGTAGGCCAGGTTAGTGTTTCAGTAGAAAGCACATTAAATCTGGTGTCAGAGGGTCTGGGTTCAAATTCTCACTCTGTCACTTGCATGACCTTGGGAAAATCATTTAACTCCTTTAGGCTTTAGTTTTCTCATCTAGAAAACAGAAAGTTCTGGACTGGCCAGTTCTCAATCTATGATCCCATGCACTTAATGAGTTTTTTTTAAATGTCACTGACAGCACCTCACGAGGGACCATGTCCTACCCTTTATGTCTTCAGCGTTACCTGTCAGACGCTCATTTAAAGAGTCTGAGGTTCTTCTCCTCCTTTTGCTGAGGGTAGACATGAAGTCCTGCTCTCTGAAGATCAGGTGTGAACCATGCACGTAAAATGCATCCCTTGTATTGCTCATCTTACTAGTCGTTTCCTGCTTAACCACTGGCATATGGCAATGGAAAAACCCTCACTTAGCTACAAGATACATTCCCCTTTGTTTCCAGAGATGGCGGGTTGGTCATCATGCCCCTCACTCCCCTCAGCTCTGACTGTGCTGTTACAATAGGGATACAGATGGACACGTTAAAGTTCTTATGGCAAATATAGCTGTGGGCAAGTTCTGGAGCCAGTTTTCAGATTTTAATACTTCCTATCTTTTCCTTTACGCTCTTGTCATATGCTCAACGCTTGAAAAACATCTTTTAAAAAACCACATTTTCACATCTTTAGAACACAAAAAAGTGTCAGATATTCCCTTTCCCGCTGCCCCTTTTGTACTCATAGAACTTAAAAAATGGCCAAAAGGAAGTTTTATAAAATAAATAAAATATATGCTGAGAGCAGAGGCTTTATATGCCAAGAGTCAGACTGCAATGGATTTTTACTACAGTTAACGTTAACTCTTGGAAAAGAAAATGGCTGCTGCAGACCTGTACATCCACATCACCTTCAATGAGGACCAGAGGACTTTCCTGGGGATTGGTTTTTCCAGTTTACTGCACCCAGCTCTCGGTTATTCAGCTTCCCAAGAGCCCCTTGCTTTCCTCTCCCCAAACAGGCCTTTTGGCCACTTCACAGCTCATTCACACCTCTACCAGAAGGTGGGTGGTGACAGAAGGTAGAGGTGAAACTCCTATCACTAAGTCTGGCTGCTCGTTAGCAGCTCCAGAAAAAAGGAGGTGGGGATAAGGCTGAAGCATTATTGTCATTATCATCAACAAGCATGCAAGTGCCAAGGTTCTCTGTTGGGGCTTAGGAGAACCCGGAGGAAAGCAAGGCTTTGAAGTACTCTCTCTGCTCTGGGTTTCCTTGGGAGGGAGTGGTGTTAGGGAGACAGGGCCACCTACCTGTTTTTGTACTCCACTGAGGTGCTGAACCTTGATGATGAGTGAGGCAGTTCGGCCCTTGTACTGGATTGTTCTGATAAAAGACCCAGCACTGTCCACACTGAATGGCTCTGACCAGCGCCAGTTCCCCCAACCTTCAATACAGATGTGTAACAGCTGGAGAGAAAAAACAATAATCGTCTTAATGCCAAGCTGCCAACAAAAATCTAGTACTGAACTGAAGGTTTCATTGCTGGGAAACCTTCCTATTTGTAATATTTAGCATCTGTTTTCTTTCTAACCTGTATTATTCATCCACTTTCAGCTTATTCAACCATACTAAGAATAGCAAATATACTACATAGAACCAATGTGGTTTTCCAGATCTCGTTTTAAAACTTGTAAATAATTGTGCCATCAAATTGTAAAGGGTCTGTTGAGCTTTTGAGAAAAGGCCATTTCATTAATCCAGAGGGCAAGAAGGTTGAATTGTGAGATCAAAGGATTTTGGTCTTGGCCCACAGTATAGTCTTCTAATAGCTAGAACATAATTAAAGCTAAATTTAGTATCTAGTTATTTTTTATCTCAACCTGCCATTTTCTCTTATTTTTCCCTCCGGGTAGACAAGTAATTTGGGGACATAGCTCATTTATCTATAAGAGTATGTAATGTGTCAAATCGGAAATTCTGCATGCTTCTAGAGCAAATGAGAAGAAAATGTCTTTGCTGTCTTTTTTTTTTTTTTTAAATATAGTTTGTAGCGGTTACTACATGCCTTCCAACACTTTCATATGTAATCAACATTACATATGATGAAACAGAGACCTGGAGAAGGTCAGTGACTGTACTAAGATCACATAGGTAATAATATTAGAACTTAAACTTTGAGTTTATGGAACACTTTGCATACCACAACAATCCTATGAATTAATTATTGCAAGTAGCAATAGTAATAACAATAATAATTGCTCATGCTTATATTGCTTTAAGCAAGCTGGCAAAATGCTTTGTACACATTACTTTAAATGATCCTAATAAGGCCTTTGTGAGGTCAGGACTATCATTGTCCCAATTTTACAAATGAAGAAACTCAGCCTCAGAAGCACAAGGCAGTGTAATTGTTGAAACGTTCATTTCTATTATGAATGGTTATTGAGAGAACAATCATAAGAAATAGAAGAAAATGTAGCAAGTACAGGTTTATATAAGGAAATACTTCCTATCAAGTAGAACTATTCCCAAAAAATGAAAGGGCAGGCCTCAGGAGGTAGTGAGCTCCCCCACTGGAGGCCTTCACGCAAAGCCTTGGATGTGAATGAGAATGAACTTCTGGGGAATGCTGTCCAGGGAATTTGGGTTCCTGTATCAGTTGGAGTAGATGGCCTTTGGAGGTCCCGTACCCCTCAAGGAGGTTACACAACTATTAAGTGATCATGAGGGGGATGTGAAAAGAGGTCTTTTGGACTCCAAGTACAACACTCTACTACGCCAGACTTCATTTCTATTCCTATTTTACACAGAGGGAACTGAGGCTCAGAGAGGAAAAACAACTCATGATTGGGAAGATGTCTGAGTGATGGAGACAGTTCTGTTTACTTGCACAACTTCAAAACTATAGCAAAGGCACACAAGTGAACCTTCAATATAATATAGGGGCAAAAAAGGGGAAATCTGCAGAAGGAAAGAATCAGACTACAATAATGACTACACCTCAGTTCATGTGTTGCTTAATTTTGCTGAAATGCTTTTTTTCTCTCCTTTTTTTGTCCTTTGTTACAAGGAATGGCTCTTTTGGTAGGGAAGGAGGAAGGGATATACTTTGACAATAAAGGTGATAGAAAAATCAAAAATAGCAATTAATTTTTTTTAAATAAAGGCTCCCCCTAACTCCCCCAACAGACAAACACATACACATGCATGGAATAATAGGACTGAAACTGCTGTCTCTAAAGTAACTGCTGTCACTAAAGTCTGAATAACCAAGTCTGGTAGCCTTTTCTCAATCTTCACCTTCTGGTCATGCAGGTTCACAACCTTTGTTTCATCCTCATTTTTCACTCTCTTTCACCCCACATAGCCAAAATGGTTGTCAAATCTTGTCAAATGTATTTCCACAACATTTCTTATATTCTGTGTCCTTCTCTCCAGTTACACACAAGGCCTTAGCACCTCGCGCCTGTAGTAATGTGAGAACCTCACCTTGCCTTGTCTTTCTCTTCTACAATCCATCCTCTACCCAGCTGTCAAAGTGATATTCCTAAAGCATAGCTCTGACCATGTTCTCCCCTGATGAATAAATTTCAGGGGCCTCTTATTAATTACAGGATAAAATATAAACTCCTCTGCAGTCAAGTCAATAAGCATTTATTAAATGCTGTGCTAAGCTCTGGGGATACAAATATATGCAAAATGAAAGATACTTCTTGCCTTCAAGGAACTTACATTCTAATTTGAGAAGATAACACATAAAATAGAAAAGCTGTTGGGGTGGGAGAAGAGGAAGGTACCCACACCGAATTCTAGAGAATGAAAATGGATGAGCTTGGCTCTTTCTCAAAATGGATGTTTTGGGAAGAACTCATTAATGACAGCAGCAGAGGGGGAGGGGGAGAAGGCAGCTGAGCATGGCGGCAAAGTCCAAAGAGTAAAGCATATCCGATCTCCTCACTCCTCAAAACAGAGGTTCCAGAACTACACTCAAACTCTCAAACAGATCTATGATCTCATTGGTCCGGACGCTTCCTCCAGTAATGGAATCCACAACTCATCCATGCACCAATACACTCATCACAGGGAGTCAACCCATTGCTCTGTAAGCCTTTCCTTTCTCCTGGCAACATGAAGACACCGACGAAATACTTGCCAGGTGACAAGCCCATCTTGTCTTCCTATTAAAAATTTCCCTGATAGCCATAATGTACTATGGAATATAATGCAGTAAGAATTATGATCATAAATGAAATGTGAACAAATAATTAAGACTAAATGGAGAATAAACACATTCAATAATCAGTTAGTAAAAAACCAAATCATGGAAACAATAACAATTTTTGTGAAAGAGAGTTATAGAGGATATAGTTAAACCAGAGAAAAACCTATATCGCTAAACACTATCCCTAAGATAGAGGAAAATTAACAAAATAAAAATGAAAAGGGAGGAGGGTCCACAACAAATAAGGGGAAATAAAGAAAATCATCAGAAACTATTATCCTGAATCATATAGCAACAAAACTGAAAATGGAAATGGATATGTACAAAAATATAAAATGCCAAAATTAACAAAACAGGAAATAGATAAACCTAAGCAGCCTGATCTCAGAAAGAGAAATTGCATAAAGCACAAATGGATCCTTATGAGGAGAAAAACAAAAACAAAAACAAATTTAGGTTCAGATGGATTCACAAGTATATTTTATTAATCATTTTAAAAACAAATAAATATTACACTATATAAACTGTTATAAAAAACAACTAGAAAAAGAAAGGACACCACTCAACACAATGAGTCAAACTTGGTTCTGGGTCATGATTTCCAAAGCAGGGGGGACGATAAAATAAACAGGAACAACAACAGGAAGACAATCAGTATAACAAACCGTATTAAGTCAACAGGCAGTAATTAAGCTCATGAAGTGCTAATAACAAAAACAAGAAAAAACAAGGGATTATGTCAATGGATACAGAAAAAAAAATCCTTTATTAAAATGCATTGCTCATTTATGTTAATACTAACAAGCAGAGGAAGTTAGTTAGCTAACAAATATTTATTAAGCATTTTATTAAGCATTGTGCTAAGCTCCGGGGATACCAAGAAAAGCAAAAAACAATTCCTGCCCTAAAAAAGCTTAAATTCTAATGGGGGAGCCAATCATAATTAGGTATGTACAAGATACATAAAAAGTAGACAGAAGGTCATCTCAGAGGGGAACTAAAGGGTCTTTCCTTGATATAATAATAATAACAATAACAGCATTTGTGCAGCAGTTTTAAGGTTTACAAGGTTTTACCTGATAACTCATTTTGATCTGATTTAAAGTATTTCCCTAAAACCAAAAATCAGCATTATTTTCAATAGAGACGCATTGGAAGCTTTCCTGATAAGATGAGGAATGAAGCAAGAATACCTACTAATTATTTGCCAAATAATTATTTGGAAGAATAATTACTAACTAGAAATATTAACTATAATAATTAGAAAAAAGAAAGAATAAATATATCAACTCTATTCTTTCACTAATCTTCAGTTGCTCCCTGTTTATTGGCTGCTTCCCTACTGCCTATAAACATGCCCAAGTTGCTCCCATCCTCACTTGATCTTCCATCTCTGCTAGCTGTCATCCTATCTCTCTCTTCCATTTTGTAACTAATCTTTTTGAGAAGGCTCTCCACAATAGGTGCCTCCACTTTCTTTCCTTTCCCTTAACTTCTTGCAATTTGGTTTCTGACCTCATCGTTCAACCAAAACGGCTCTCTTCAAAGTCACTAATGACCTCTCAGTTGCCAAACTTTTCTCAATTCTCATCCTTCCTGACTTCTCTGTAGCATTTCACACTGTCAACCATCTTCTCCTTGATACTCTCCTTTCCAGGTTTTTGTGAAACTGCTCTTTCTTGGTTCTCCCCTAACCATCAGACTGCTCCTTCTCTCTTTGGCTGGATCTCATGCATGTCCTACCCACTAATCATGGGAGTCCCTCAAGGCTTTGTCCTGGGCCCTCTTCTCTCCTTTCTCCATACTACTTCACTTGATGACCTCATCAGGTCCCATGGTTTCAATGATCATTTCTATGCAGATAACTTACAGATCTTGACCAGCCCCAACCTCCCTTTCACATCTCCAACCGCCTTTCAGACATCTCAAACTGGAAGTTTCATAGACCCCCTAAACTCCACGTGTCCAAACATGAACTCATAGTCTATTTCCTCAAACCCTTCCCTCTTCCTAACTTCCCTCTTAAGATGGAGGACAATACCATTTTCCCATCACTCAGTCTCACAACTCAGGTGTCATCCTTTACTCCTCATTTTCTCTCACTCCTCATATATAATTATCAAGTCTTGTTTCTACCTTCCCAACATGTCATGCATGCCCCCTCCTCTCTTTTGATACTGTCACCACCCTGGTGCAGACCCTCATCTTCTCATGCCTAGCCTATTATGACTCTGCCCACTGCAG